ACACACAAGCACACTCACACTCACAAATTGCGGCATCAATTTTTTCTCAGAATTAAAACAATTTTATGATAAATATTATATGTGTGTGTGTGTGTGCTATATATATAAGTATGAGAGTTAAATACAATCTATTTATTAGAAATTATGAGATTCTATATAGAATCTCATGATTTCTAATAAATAGATTGTATTCACTTCTCACACTTAGGGTTTGTGTTCGAAACCTGCCCGCCAAAATTTCTTCTTTCTAAAAGTTTTTCCTTTCACCTTTTTTCGTGTCCTCTAGTCCTGTTCTATTGACTGCTTTTTATTTCCACTTTTTTCCCTCCCACACAACACCCTTAGCTCCCTGTTGCCTCCCCTCTTTCCTTTACTGTTTTTCGTGAGACTTTCTATTGCTGTTCCTAGAGCTACTACTACTTTTTAAGAGGGTGCTGTGGCGGAGCGGTTAGTGTGCTTGTCTCCGAAGGGGAAAGTCCAGGTTTGAGCTTCGGTTCGGACACAGATTTTTTGCTCCCTTCTGCCTGCCCAGCAGTAATGGGGCTACCTGACTTCGAGTTTGTGAAGTAAAGGTTGCGTGGAAAGGATCTGGCCACCCTACCACACTTTGCCGAAGGCCCAGGAAGTTGTCTCACTTACATTACTTGCAAGTCAATCCCCAATGTCCAGATCAGATGCGGGAACAGCTTTTCTTTACTGCTTACTGCACTGTCTTTCAGCCACACCTTTGACTTAGGGTAGGTAAGATTGAACCCCTAGTCTTCTTGAAGGGGCAAAAAATTTCGGAGGTCTCGTTTGCAAGTTGCGCACGTTAAAGATCCCTTGGTGGCCCAAAAAAATCACTCAAGCAAAATTCAAAATTGATTATTCAGGTCCTACCAAAACTGAAAATATTCTAGAGTCAGTTTAAATACATATATATATATATATAGAGCACCTTCAAAATCGGAATGTGGCTGGTATGTCATCGCACACAGAAGACGAGAGTTCAATTCTCATTATTATTGTATGAGGAGGTTTCTAAAGTTTCTTTTTATTGAGTATTCTCCGTCTGTCTGCTGGGCATTGTTACTTGTATCCTTCTCAGCCCTCGTTGGCCCTGACATGCAGGGTTGAAGCAGCCTACCTTTTTATTACCATCTAAATTATTGTGATAAAGGGGTCATAAAAGAAGAACATGATGTATACAACACATAATTATATTTTCTTTTGTCTGCCTTCTTTCTACCTTTCTTCTTTTTATACTAGAATTGTGTGGATAGTGTTGTAAAGCAGTGAAAACATGATACTCAGACAAATTTTCTGCCTTTGAAATAGTCGGTTGTTTACACTTGTACCTTAGAGTGTTAGAATTGTAGGCCCTACTTTGTAATGCACACAATAATTTATGGGATGGGCAGCTGAGGTTTGGGTCGATTTTCATCTATCTGAGTGAACAGTACCTTTTAAAACAAAATTGATTTTCTCTTTTATTTCGTGCCTCTAGAATGGATCCCAAAAGCTCCAAATGATGGTAGTACGCTATAAACATATTTTGAAGTGTTTTTTTTCTTTGTACGTACAGTGCCTTTTTGTGTTGCTAGTTTTTATGCGAAAATTTTACCTCTGATTTTATGAGGCGATGGTGTCACAGAGTCAGTTCAGCTAAAAAACTATCATGTTTATGTAATAAATAGCCTTTACACTTTATTAGACATATATATCAAGATAAGATGTAAATCTAGATAATAGACCATTTTTTTCCCCAATGACGTATCGTAAAAAAAATATCTTATCTCTCTCCGTAAAAAAAAATTGGTTAAAATTTAACCACTTAAAATAAAGAAATTTCAAAAATTCCATAAACATTTGTAAATGATTAATTTTTTGTGAAATAAAGTTGTCAGTTACCCAGATTTACACTAAGATGAATGTTCTGTAGCATTTTTATCTTCCTAAGTAGAACTGTTTTTCAGCTGAACTTACTCTACGTTTTGTGTTTATTTTCAAGATGGTCGCCATCACCATAGCAACGCAGACATTATTTACACAATATTTTAAAACAGATTTATCTTGTTTTGCTATACCGAGAATAAGAAAGTTTGAATTTATGTCTAAATAATAACAAAGTTATTTCACCCGCCTGTTCCCTTAAATTAATAGCAATAGTCAGAATCCTTGAATTTTATTGTCTTTTTATTGTCTCATTAAAAATTCTGTTGTGTGTTTGATTCTCACCCTCAGTCTTGGATGCTGCTGGAAAGCCAGGCCCCTCCATCACCCAGCTCCGTATCAATTTTGTGGGGAACTACAAGCAATGCAGGGCTATAAAGGTTCCTGCGGACCCTCAGCAAAACAGCACAGGGTTCAGTGGACAGTATGCAGTGCTCAAGGTCGCTCTTGGGGTGAGTTAATTAATTTTTAAAACATTATACAGAGTACCCCCCCTCTCATTTTCCATATGCCCCCCCCCCTACTCCTTTTCCCAACATACATTATACATGATACCCAATTTAAACACATATTCATGTCAATTGGAATAGGGAAATAAACAGTTTCCCTGTGCTCCAAGGGTATGTCTAATGAAAGAGAATGTTCCACACAAAAATTCTTGACATTCTGACTGAGAAGTACTTTGGCTGGTTTTGTTGACTTTGATATTTGTGAGGCAGCGTGGTGAAATCAGGTGCTCGTCAAAATAATGGTAAGTCAAGAAACGGGCATTTTTCTGCTGGTTTGCGAATGGTTCAACACCTTTCATGCCCACTAAAGAACACATTTTTGTATGTGAATTTTGCTGAAAAAAATTTATTAAAAGGATATAAAAGATGTAAATTTTCAGTTTCCACAGACTCTTTTTAAAACGCTATGAAAATAATTCAACTTTGGTGGCCATCTTTTTGCTAACTTTACCTCCGAAGCTTGGCGACGCTGACCTCTTTCAATCACAAATATTTCGACTTCTATTCAACATAGATGGGATATCTTTTTCTCCAAAAGGAAGGAAAATAAACAGGCTTTAAGATGATACCAATTACCAATAACCCCACATGCTAAAAAATTGACGAGCGCCTGATTCCACCGCGTCATGACGCAATTGTCTCTCTGCTTGTTTCCTTTCATTTTTATTAAACTCTTTTCAATTAATGGCATTTTTTGTGTCTAGTTGGGTGTCAAACTTCGAATCTTAAAAATATTAAAGCACATTTTGGACATGGATTTGCGTAATTGAAGTCATGATTTAATCACATGATAAGCTGATATAGAAATAACATTAAATTCTTTATATTATGGTTTGAGTGAGATGTCTGCATTGCGGGTTGGCTTGGGCAGAGCTATTCTTCAGAAAGACTTTCTTCTACTGACTTCGTTTAACTCCTGTATTGTGTCAGAAAGGTAATGAAATGTGGGTGGTTGGCGGGTGCTCTGGTGTGGTTTGCTCCTTCTTTTCTGTCAAACATCTGTTGTTCTTTTTATTATCTCTCCTTCTTTTTTTGTGTGTTTTTTTACTCTCTTCTTGTAACACCTCTAACACCTTGTATGTTTTACTGCCATGCAAGCTGGTGTCTTATATCTCTGTATTATGTCAGTGTGATGTGCTTAGCCAATCATCTGTGACATTGACACCCATGGAAATGTTCCACATGACAGATATTATTGTCATAAATGCCAATGGACAAATCTTGCTGCTATAAATGACATACCCTTATTAAAAAGATACACCGCACAAATGATAAGAAAAAGTATTCTAGTTCTAAAAATGTTTGTTTAGTTATTCATGCGGTATGCTTTTCTTTAGTTTTACATTAATTACAATATTTGCTGACAATACTATTTTGTCCTCATTCTCAATCTCTGTCTTCTTCCTCACAAACACACAAACACACACACATACGCATGCACATATACACACATACACACACACACACGCACACACACACACACACACACACACCCACCCACACACATGCTCATTCACAAACACAAACACACACACACATACACACACACACACACACACACACACAAACACAAACACACACACACATGCTCACTCACACATGATACTCTCTCTCTCTGAAATGTGTTATATGATGCATTTTTATTTATAAATCTCTCTGTCTCATTCAGAACACTCTTTCAACTTCTTCTCTGGGGCTCGCTTGCTCTGTTTCTCTCTCACTATATCGCTCTCTCTCTCTT